ACTATACTTGGACCATAGAAACTACACCTGGACCATAGAAACTACACTTGGACCATAGAAACTACACCTAGACCATAGAAACTATACTTGGACCATAGAAACTATAATTGGACCATAGAAACTATACTTGGAACATAGAAACTACACCTGGCTCATAGAAACTACACCTGGACCATAGAAACTACACCCGGACCATAGAAACTATACTTGGACCATAGAAACTACACCTGGACCATAGAAACTACACCTGGCTCATAGAAACTACACCTGGACCATAGAAACTACACTCGGACCATAGAAACTATACTTGGACCATAGAAACTATACTTGGACCATAGAAACTACACCTGGACCATAGAAACTACACCCGGACCATAGAAACTACACCTGGCTCATAGAAACCACCTGGACCAGATGGCCGCCCATCCTAAGTTTGCTTTGGGTGCTGCTGGAGGTTTCTTCTCACAGACATGACAAAAGCGTGATCACATTAATGTCTTTGTGGCAGGTGATGAAAAGCATCAAGTGAAGCAGCTCCATGACACTTTCCGCAGATTAAAAGTCCAAGTCTGTGTGAAAACAGTTTTCTTTGACTTTTATTTATTTATTTTGAATATTCTGTGTTGTCCTGCAGCACTGAAACCCACACACTGGACCTGAGGCAGAAACTGAGGAACAGCTTGGTTCTGTTTGAATGAATTAAATACTTTGTTCAGGGATTCTTTTTGAGCCCAAACAAGTCTGAGATCCTGCAGCGCTACTTTGTGAAGTATTTAAAACTTCACTCTGAACTCGGCTATAAAACACCAAAACAGCAGCAGCTGCAGTCTACTCTTCAAAACATCAAAATGATTAAAATAAAATTATAATAATTGCTATTGGACCTGTTTTTTTGGTCATTCTTATTTGTTGATGTCTGTACAGTGACTCCCATATAAACCTGTTTGATTCGTAACAGTAAAATCCATGCTCAATAATCCAGGTATACAATCCAACATTTTTCTGTTTGATTTGTCTTAAACATTCCCACACATCTGTTTACCGAACTACTCATACTTTTAGGCATTTAGTCTTTTATCTTTACCTCTGTGGATTTATGTATTTTATGCTGTGCCTTTGCTTGTTTGTTTTATCGTACAGCACTTGAGTTGGTCTTGTTGCTGTTTTTAAGTGCTTTATAAATAAAGTTGTACGGTATGGTCTGTTTACCGAACTGCAGCAGCGAAATTACAGCTTCAGGCTGTTGCCTCAGTTTTTACCAAAACTCAAGACAAACCTGTTTGACGCTGAACTGTAAAAACCTCAAAACATTAGAAGTATTTCCCTTCGCAGTCTGACACCTGCAGGTCCCAGGTAATATATATATATATATATATAGAGAGAGAGAAATACATCTTTTAAGTGTCAGTTTTTACAAATATAGCTCCTTCATTTATTTCATCAGTGGTGTATTATTTACTTTTGCCAAGTTTTGGTTTGTTTCATCCGATTGTTATGCTTCTATACTTTTTAACTTCTCTGCTACCCTGATTCACATTTGATCGTTTCAGGGTAGTAAAAGTCCACAGCGGAAGGTTCAGGGCACCTCATTCGATGGACCTCATTATGTTCAACTGAAATCAGCTGTGTGAAAACTGTCCATTCATATTGAGCCCTGGGCAGCAGGAGAAACTCACTATTCAAACATCCCAACTACAGTATATTTATTATTTTGACAATAAAAAAGTTCAGAGCCATTTTCACGTTTTCGTGGCGTTATCTCTTGATAAGCACAATTACCTCACAGAGTAATATAAAAGAAATGTATACATTGATTATTAAACTCACAGAGTTAGTGCCAGAACAACGACCAAAGGTTTTAACCTGTAAAAATCCAACACAGTGAACTGACTGGTGTCAGCTGTTTTACAGCTTCAAGATGAATTGAACTGCGAGGACTTGTACCGATTGATGAGACAGAGAGATCAGGCTGAAAAGAATGTGCAGCAAATTAGTCTTGTTAAAGATAGGAATTGTGTTGGTCTAACAAGTGAGGAGAGTGTGAATAGAAGATGGAAGGAGTGCTTTGAGCGAAGAGAAAACCGAACTACTAGAGATAGGAGACCCCTCCCCTACCTTGGCCTCTCTGACCACATAATCTTCATGGCCCCTGTCTTCCTCCCCACACTGAGGCGTTCCAGACCAACACAGAGGATCGTCACCGTATGACCCTGTGACTCTGTACTGCAGGACGGTTTTGCATGCACAGACTGGTAAATCTTTAGGGAGGCATCTGAAAATGAGGGAGAGTTGGATTTGGAGGAATACACATCTGCTGTTCTTGGATACATCAACAAGTGTGTTGATGATGTCACCACCACCAAGACTGAAATCCTGGCTGAACACAGAGGTCCATACCCTGCTGAAAGCCAGGGATACTGCCTTCAGGTCTGGCGACTTTCTGGAATTGGGGAGGACAAGGAAATAATTGGCTGCTGGTATAAAGAGGGCCAAAGCAACATATGCACAGAAGATCCATGGACATTTCTCCTCACAGGACCCACAGAGCACGTGGAAGGGCATTAAGTCATACCAGACTATAAGCAGGGGTGCACAATGCCCTAGGGACCCATCACTGCCTGATGCTCTTAACAGGTTATATGCCCACCCAAATAGACCACCCAACACCAGACTCACCTCACCACCGGAAGAGGAATTCCTCAACGTGACCTCAGCAGAAGGAGGACCTTCAGAAGGATTAATCCTCACAAAGCAACTAGCCCAGATAACATGGGAGAGTGCTGAAAGACTATGCCAATCAGCTCTGCAAGGTGCTGGCTGACAACTTTAACTCCTCCCTCACTCTGGCAACTATTTTCACCTGCCTGAAGACCGCCATTATAATCACAGTTCCTAAGAGCTCTGCAGTGACTGGTCAGAATGACTACCAACCAATAGCCCTCACCCCGATAGTTGCTAAATGCTTTGAAAGACTGGTCATGGCCCACATCAAATCTACCATCAACATCAGTGAGGATCCTTACCAGTATGCATACAGCAAGAATCGATCAGCAGAGGACGCCATCTCCTCTGTGGTCCACACTGCTCTTACCCACTTGGAGAAGGACTCCTACATCCATATGATTTTTGTGGTCTTCACATCCGCCTTCAACACCATGATTCCCCAAACCCTGATGGACAAACTACTTACACTAGGACTAAGCCCCTCCATTTGCAACTAGGTCCTGGACTTTTTAACCAACAGACCGCTGTCTGTGAGGATACACAACTTCTCCTTCTCCTCCATAACCCTCAGCACTGGCTCCCCTCAGGGCTGTGTGTTGAGCCCCCTCCTGTTCACTCTGCTCACATATGACTGTGCACCTAGCCATCCAGGCTGTCATACTGTTAAGTTTTCAGATGATACAGCGGAGGTTGGATGCATCACAAACAACGATGAGTCTGGCTACAGGTACACCCCCCCCCCCCCCCCCCCGGAACATAGGAGGATCTGTGGTGGAAATGGCCTTTAGTTACAATTACTTGGGTGTGCACCTGCATGACAACCTCAGCTGGAGCAACAACACCACCAGCCTGATCAAGAAAGCTCATCAGAGACTCTACTTCCTCAGACGGCTGAGGCGAGCTGGTCTGGGAAGCTCAGTCCTCACTTCCTTCTACAGGTGTGCAGTGG